ATGGATGGATGGATGGATGGATGGATGGATGGATGGATGGATGGATGTGGCATCAGGCGTGTCAATTCCTCATGATTCTTGGCTGGATCCTTCCAGCTGGAGCTGCAATCGCCGGCCCGCCAGTCACGAACACCGAGCCATCTGCGCCAAGCCACAAAATGGCCGCCAATGGCCCCAACATGCTCCAACCCCCCCTCAAAAGCGCCCCATGCATCTCCCTATCAAGGTCTTCCCAAGTCCAGTGGGTTTTCAGCACCTCCACCCACACCATCTAAGCCTTCTCGCTACAGCTCGCCCTGTCTGTGCATGTGTGTATGTGTTTTGTGGCAGCTCCGAGACGCCGCTGCAATCTACCGTCCAAGATGCCAGGCGCACTGGATCGTCGTTGATGGTCGAAGGGTCCTGAGGCCGCATTTTGGGTAGCGACGGCGAAAAGGAGACCTACCACATTCTGAGGAGCTTCACCCACAATTGCTGTTTGGCGTTAAACATTTGGCGATACTAACAGCAGCTCTTGCCACACTACTTGCCGAGCACTTTTGCCAAGCACTTTGCCGCATAAATCCTTGAGTGTTTACGCTTCCGGGGAAATGTCAATACATAGTTGTTTCAGAATAGATGGCACTGGCACCCCTACATGTCCATAAACCACCGAACTTGGGGATGGTGCCATCGATCTACTCTGAAACCATTGCATGCGGTACAATTACACCGTTCTACAGGAGTCTTTCCTCTGCGCTGTTTGGATGAATCTCGACACTGGGATGAGTCAGCTGCCACCATTGTTTCGAACAAAATCGACACAACTTTCCCCCAAGAAAAAAAACAGCTAAAGGAAGGGCTGCTCTCCACTTCCAAACACGGACAGTCGAAAAACACTTCCACTTCCAGCCACTTCCAAACGCTCCAGAGAACCCTCGCCCCACGACGACTCCTCGGCGCCTACTCTGTGGCGGGGGATGTCTTCGTCTGCCTGTCACCGAGGCGCGGGATCCTCGGGGTGCAGCTGTGCCCAAGCGTCCACGAAGGTCATGGGCACCTCCCAGTGGCGGCCATAAGCCTCGACGGCGCCGGTGCGCAAGAGCTTCTGGGAGGGCTGGTAGTAGCCAGTGTTCAAGTCACCCATCAGCACCTGGAGTCAGATGCAAAGGATGTGAAGATGAACCAAAAACTTGAGGCAACACAAATGCAGCAAGTAGATGTGGCAGTCTAGACCTGAAGGGAGATGAGTGGCTGGAAAGAACAGTTCAACAACATATTATGTTAGAGAACATATATCAGCCGCTGTTGGGGGTCTAGTCAGGATTCAACCTCCAAAAGGGAACAGCAAAGCAAGCAAACAACAGCATACTACAAATTTTCGTCAGCCAGTCGGCCTGGCAACCATTTGCTTTTTCAAACTGAGGGGACGCCCAACTATATAATTGCAGTTGCGGTATGCGCCAGGATTGGGTCAAGGAAATACATTATACATCAAACCCAACCAAACATCAAATGGTAGGCTGTTTGGATGGTTTCAGCTTCCGCAACCTTGTCTGCACTCCAAGTGCCCTCCGATCCCACTATTTAGATTCAACCTATCTCGAAATCACTACTCTTTTTTTGTTCTCTCTCTCTCTCTCTCGTGATGTGTACGTGTGTACTATTGTGCACTCTTCTGTAGTAGCTTGTCCTTGGTCAAAACTTTTCCACATTCCCTGCTCAGCCGCGTGGCGATGGGATACGGATGCCGCTTCTGTACCTCGCTCAGCGTCCGCGTCACAAAGTCCACGGCCTCCATGATGACGTAGTCCCCACGGCAGCACAACGGATGGGTACCTGTGAGAGTGGACCCTACGGGCCGAGAGCAGAGTGGACTCTACTGGCTGGGCCAATCGGAGCACGGACCCTTCATTAGTAGTTAAGAATTTAAAAAATATATAGAGAGAGAGAGAAATGGACATAGAAATGGTACATGCACCTAATTAATCCTGTTTAAAGGTATGATTGTTCAGTTATACATACAGTATATGGACAATTGTAGGTATGTATAATGCTCACATCCAAATAAACAACTACCAGCCAACTATAGACAAACTGTTCCAGTAGCCTGAAAAGAGAGAGAGAGAGAGAGCAACAAGAAAAAAACAATAACTATATATAAACACTACTTTCTCAGTGAGAGCATACAAATGTTTAGACTCTAGACTAAATACTGTCAATCAACATGTTGCCTTTATCAATCGGTTAAAGATGTTGAACGACCAATCATGTATACACTACTGCCACCCCCAAAAAGAAACTTCTTTGTATTCAAAGGTTGGAATATGTTAGAATTATAAACTGCCAGTCAATTACGGTATACATTATTTAAAGAAAAGAACTTGCAATTCTTTGACAAGCAACAAGAAAAGGGTTTGGCAAAGGGTATCGCTTGCGAATGCCCATGACATGCAAACATAAAAGAGTATGAACGAGTATGAAATACGGTCTCAATAAAACATACATCACGTGAACTGCAAACGTCTCCTATAGGTGGCAATAATACACCAAACTTTCTCCTGTATGATGACAATCCTATTTCTAGATTTGATTATATATATACTTGAGAGGAGGGAGACACGAAAGGTAGGACAGCGGGAAGAGAAGAGAACGCGAGAGGCAGGAACAAAAATGCAATGTTCGACATGGTGATTTATCCCCTCGGAGGCGACCTTTCGTACATATATGTTCATATGCACTTTAAATGTTCAAACATGTGCTCTCGAAATGTTCAAAAAGATTCTTAGGAAAACAAACTTGCCCCATGGCTCAGATCATCGGTGAGCATTGAATCGGAACATCATAGGATTTGAACTATCCTGAAACCATAAGAGGCTCACGAAGACGCTCCCCAGGAGAGAATTGACGTGCTTCACAGAACACCTTTCGTGATTAGAATTTCATATTCACTCTTTCTGAATGTTCAAGAGGGTTTCAACTATCCTGAAATCATGAGAGGCTCACGAAGACGATCTCCAGGAGAGAATTGATTTTAGAGGGGGG